ATATATACACATATATATATATATACACATATATATACACACACACACACACACACACACACACACACACACACACACATACACACACACATCTCTCAGGTCAAAACATTGCTGATTTTGGCTGAATTACAAAAAATACAAGTGGTACTAAATTAAGAGCCATTTGGCAGAGTCCAAGATTGGAGAGCACATTCACAATGTAACACACAGATTTCTGGACATGTTAACGCGACCGAATATGGTGGGTTAACACGGCTGAAATTGACAGATTTTGTATGTGTTAACATGTTATTACACATTAACATGCACGTTCTGAAAGTGCAGCTTTTGACATGGTTGACCATTTTCTCCTATTACAAAGACTTAAATCTGAGGTCACGTTGTGTGGAATGATGTTGAAGTGGTTTAAATTGTATTTGACTAATCGTTATCAATATGTTCAAGTGTCAAATTATTGTACTCCGTCATTTATGTCACCAGTCAAGTATGGAGTACCACAGGGATCAGTGCTTGGTCCTTTATTGTTTTCTCTCTGCATGCTGCCATTAGTTAACATAAATATAAAATATAATGTTAACTATCACTCCTATGCATTATACATTTCAGTTACGCCTAACGACACTGCATCTAATGTCACTTTAGCTAAGTAATTTTTATTACTAAACTCTCAGAAAACTGAGGTTCTGTTGTTTGGTGGCAAGTCCATGGACAGGAATGCTATAATCTCTGCACTCCATTCCAAAGGACTAAACTTTTCCCTCAGCAACTCAACCCGTAACCTAGACGCCATCTTAGATACAAGCCTGTCATTCAACTTGCATCATGCAGTATTGAAGGTCTGTTTCCTACAGCTACAAAACATTACCAAACTACAACAGCTTCTTACTATTCAAGATACAGAGTAATTGATACATGCCTTTGTATACAGTAGGTTACACTGCTGTAATGCTCTGTTATCTGGGAGCTCACACTGCACACTAAACACCTTGCAGTGTGTTCAAAATGCAGCAGCTGGAATTGTTCTTAGGCCCCTGCATTGGCTTCCTGTTAAGTTTAGTACTAAGTTCAAAATTCTCCTACTTACATATAAGGCACTTAAAGGTCTAGCACCTGCCTACCTGACAGAATTACTTCAAGTTTAGAAGCCGCATCGTCCACTCATATCACACAATGCAGGTTTCCTTGTCATGTAAATAAAGTGACAGCAGTAAAGCATTCTGCTATAGGGCCCCTATCTTGTGGAATGGTTTACCAGCCTATGTTCTGGATGCAGAATTGGTCTCAGTCTTTAAATCTTGACTGAAGACCTATTACTTCAGTTTAGCTTACCTGGGACCTAAGACATAACACACCGTATCTGTGGATGCTGGTGCTGCTGTACAGGCCATTTTTATATACTGTGCTTCTCCGTTAGTGTGTCTATGCAGGTTCTGACTCTCCACGCTCCCTGCCTTCCCTCCCACATGTCCGGAAGGTGCCTGGGGTGGGCCCATCTGAGCTGGAGTTCTGGTTCAGTCCCTGGAAGGGTAACATTGTGGATGTGACTTACGAACTGTAATATCGTGGGTGCAGTGTTCAATCTGCCACCCTACACAGGCCAGTGTGGAGAACAGCCTCACTGATGGACTTAATCACAGCTTATACCTTGTTTTTAGCAAGCAAGTCCACTCTTTTCTGTTCTGAATAAAGTTGGCATGCCCAGGGGGGTTGGGCAGCAAGTTGACCTCTGACCCCCACAGGTTTTTTTCTCCTTATTTGGTAGTTTTTGGTTCCTCTGCTCCATTGTCATCTTGCTTTCGAGGTCTAATCTTGTTGTCTTTCCTTTTCCCTGTTAAGTACTACCACCTAATATCACAACACACCCATGTGAAGTGCCTTGGGGTGAATCCATTGTGAATTGAATTGAATTGAATTGAATTGAATTGAATTGAATTGAATATTGCGTCCATTTCACTGCTGCCTGGTCCCTACAGGCTGTCTATGTTATTGCTTGCATTTTCTTTATTGAACAACTTCATAAACAAAACAACAGTGGCATGACTTGACAAATAGTATATTCACAGAGTGGATATGCATAGATGTTTCACTACTAACCTATTAAAAATATGACTAAAGTCTAAACTGACTAGTTAATAAGTGTCACACGGGAGCTGGTGCAGCCTCCACAAGTATCTCTTCTGCAGAGATACAGGACTTTCTCTATCAAAAGGGTCAAAACATATTAGCTTTTTTGCATTAACACACTCAAACCTGACACGCTATCATGCTAATTTTGTACATGTTAACACGTTTTTACACATTAACAGAATGTATGGAATGCCATCGGGGTCAAAATCCTCTGATGCCATCCATCCATCACCGTAACCACTTAATCCCAACTGGGGTCGCGGGGGGGACCGGGGCCCATCCTGGGAACAATGGGTGCAGGCAGGAAAGGCACCAAACCCAGGACCTTCTTCCTGTGAAGCAGCAGCACTAACAACTGCGCCACCGTGCCACACATCCTCCGAATCAACACATCAGATTTGTACATCTTATGATGTTGAAAACGTGCGTCTTGCATTAATTTTCAACGTCTTAAGACATTCAGACCATTAAAGCTTATTAGTTGGCGTCACATACTCACCCCATTCTGACACAGGCGTACGTACAGCCCAATGCAGCTAGCTGCTGAGTTATGGTCATGTGGTCTCCACATTTTCCGGCAGAGGTGGGATATTTTTTGCCTGTACAAATTACATTGTCCAGCAACATTTGCTACCTAGCCACAAACATCAACACAACACGTATTTTGAACAAAACAAGCAAACTATTTTTTGGCTGATGTTACCTAGCTATTCATCTACCTAAATGTAACACTGCCACTGCTTACTTGATTATGAGATCATTTTATGTGTTTTTGTGTATTTTTATGTCTTGTGTGTGGTTTTTGAAATGGTGCCTACCCACAAATTTAATTTGCACAACGCTCCTAGTTGCTGATTTTTTTACAATGTTAAATGGTCTTATTAATATTCATGAGGGAAGCGCTAGATGATTGGCCATCTCAATATTTATGAGAAGCCCTACCTGATTGGCCAGTGACTCCCATCGACATGTGATACCTATTTTTTTCTGTGTAAACTGTAAAGCATTCACTATTAATGAGTTTTCCCGAACCACACTGTAAAACGCGAATTCGCGTCTCGTACGCCACTGTTCCTACTGCTAGTCATTATTCTGTTGATAGGTTAGTGGCATTGGGTGCATTGCTTTAGTTTATCCAGCAGATGTCAGTCTCACACCAACCTAGCGTTAATTTTTTTCTGCACCGGCTTTTCCCAGAGACATATCCCTCTGGCTTGTCAACTTTGGTCACCTGGCTAGAGTGAGATTTTCAATCTGAGACAAGTCTGCACACTCATTTTCATGTATGTAACTATTTTATTACCTTTTAAATAGTATGTAAGTTTTGCAGACTACCCCAACGCTTTTAATATAGCTAATTTTAGATTTGTAATGGAATAATGTAGATTTGGGGTAAAAGTTCTTGCGTATTGTGCAGAATTCTGCAACCCTGCCGTGAAATGCTCCCCCTTGTCGGGAGCGCGCACCGCTCTTTTCTTCGATTCGAAGGGGGAAAACACGTAGTTCCGTCAATCTAAATATGCAACAGAAATATTAAATTTCGCTTGCACATTTAGAAGACCTTTATCACTTTCACTTCACGAAGGCTGCATTTAACCCACATAAAAGTGATGAACTGTGACATGTAGACGATGAGCACCGAACGAGAACGTAGGTTATTTCTCTCGTCATCAGTTTAGAAGAATCAGTCTTGGCAACTGTGTGTCACATAAAAACGTCACATTTTACAAGTCTTAGCACTGACTGGGTTCTCGCCAATATTTGAATATAAAATTTTAGTTATTTATTTATTTATTTATTTATTTATAACAATAATAATAATCATAATTATTATTATTATTATTATTATTATTGAGATATATAAATAAAAATACGCATCCTTTCGATAATCACACTAGTTCACTTTCTCCATCTTCGGCTCAGTTCGGTAAAGTTGGAAAGATATTGGCAGATTCGAACTTCGCGGCTCAATAAATCTTAAACAAAACGTTCTTACAACACAATATACGTGTCTATTTAACAGTGGTAAGGTAGACAATGAGCTACAACCGGATTTTCGTCCAAACGATATGTATTCAAAGAAATACGGGTAACTTTGCTCCCTATGAGCAGTCCGCTGTCAGAGGAGAGCTTAGGGACCGTCTGCAAAGTGCAAAACGAAAACGGATACTGTCAATAACTTCACTTCCAAAGAGTGAAGAGCCACCAAAATCACTAAAGGCTTTTGGAATGTTATCATGGTCATACTACACCCCTTAGTTTGGTGAAATATACCTTAGTCTATTTTTAAAGATTTTTTATTAGGAATAACATTCAATAACTTTGCTCCTATCAACTGTACTACCACCAAAATCACTACACACTTCTACAGTCTCATTATGGTCATACTACACCATTTAGTTTGGGGAAAAAAAACATTATTATGAAATAAAATGCAATAACTTTGCTCCTATCAATTGTAGTGCCACCAAAATTACTATATACATATGCAATCTTATTATGGTAGGACTGCATCACTTAGGTTGGGAAAATGTGGCTTAGTCTATTGTTAAAGGGATTTTAGTGGCAATAAAATTCAATAACTTTC